TCACCTCCGTATCAAGTAGACCGACTCCTGCCTGCATCTACTACTATTACTCCACACATCGAGCGACTCGTGCCTGCATCTAGAGTATTAAGTTCATAGAACAGAGTAACGCATTAAGTAAGATGACATGATATAGCGGGATAAACTCAAGCAATATGATGAAAACCCCATCTTGTTATCCTCGATGGCAACAATACAATACGTGTCGGTTACCCTTCTGTCACTGGGATCGAGCACCACAAGATTGAACCCAAAGCTAAGCACTTCTCCCATTGCAAGAAAAACCAATCTAGTTCGCCAAACCAAATCGATAGTTCGAAGAGACTTGCAAAGGTACCAAATCATGCATATAAGAATTTAGAGGAGATTCAAATAATATTCATAGATAAGCTGATCATAAATCCACAATTCATCAGATCTCGGCAAACACACCGCAAAAGCGTATTACATCGAATAGATCTCCAAGAACATCGAGGAGAAATTTGTATTGAGAATCAAAGAGAGAGAAGAAGCCATCTAGCTACAAGCTATGGACCCGTAGGTCTGTGGTAAACTACTCACGCTTCATCGGAGAGGCAATGGTGTTGATGTAGAAGCCCTCCGTGATCGAATCCTCCTCCGGCAGGATGCCGAAAAAGGACCCTAGATGGGATCTCATAGGTACAGAAGGTTGTAGTGGTGGAAAAGTGGTTTCGGGGCTCCCCTGGAAGGTTTTGGGATATTTGAGAATATATAGGCGGAAGAAATAGGTCGGTGGAGTCACGAGGGGCCTACAAGAGTGGGGGGCGCGCCCTACTCCCTAGGCGCGTCTCCCGACCTTGTGGCCGCCTCGTGGATTTCCTGACATGCACTCCAAGCCCTCTGGATGTCTTCTGGTCCAAGAAAAATCATCGCGAAAGTTTCATTCCGTTTGGACTCAGTTTGGTATTCCTTTCCTGCGAAACTCTAAAACAAGGAAAAAAACAGGAACTGGCATTGGGCTCTAGGTTAATAGGTTAGTCCCAAAAATAATATAAAATAGCATATTAATGCATATAAAACATCCAAAACAGATAATATAAACAATCAAAAATTATAGATACATTGGAGACGTATCACCTCGCTTGAGTGGTCCATCGCGCGACAGCGAGTCAGACTCTCTTGGCTTCGCGACAATGATGTGGTTGTCTCCTTCCTCGAGGTTCATGCATCTCACAGGATGCAACACAATCTCATAACATCCCCTCGCCTGGATGATCAGGTCATCACCGAGCATGGTGCCATGGCTGAGGTGGCCTTTCATCACTTCTCCAACGTCTTGGGCTCGGCCAAGAACCGTGACTTCTCCATTAACCATACGCAACTATGAGAGATGCGGCTCCCCCCTTACCGACCTTGAGGAGCTGTTCTCCGAGGACGAGATTTGGCATGCCGTCAAAAGCCTTCCCTGGGGGAAGGTGCCTGTCCCGGACGGCTTCATGGCTGAGTTCCTCCATGCATGTTGGGACATCATCAAGCATGACATATGCGAGGCATTCAACAAGTTCCACAACACGAATGGAAGAGGCTTCCAAAAACTGAATGAAGCTCTTCTCACCTTACTTCCCAAGCGCATAGACGCTGAGGCCCTCTTCGACTACCACCCCATCAGCCTCATTCACCTCATTGCGAAGCTGTTCGCAAATGTGATCTCCCTCAGGCTCATGCCAAGAATTGGGACCTTGGTGTCAACCAACCAGAGCGCGTTCATTGCAGGGCGGTGCATCCATGATAACTTCTTAGTCTGGCAAATGACGCGTCTTCCTCATAACCTCAAGGTGCCGCGCATGCTTCTGAAGCTTGACATTGCATGGGCCTTCGACAGTGTATCCTGGCCTTTTCTGCTAGAGATGCTCCAGGATCTCGGATTTGGGAGCCGATGGCACGACTGGATCTCAATCCTCCTATCTACTGCCTCCACTAGAGTCACGATAAATGACCACCCCCCATTGGTCAAGCCTGCGGCCCGCGACAGGGCGACCCCATACCACCCATGCTATTCGCCATCGTCACTGACGTCCTCAACTCGATGCTCCTCCGCGCCGTCGACCTTGGCCTTATCCAGTGCCTCACAGCTCGACATGCTGCCTCGAGCATATCTCTCTACATGGATGACGTCGTCATCTTTTGCCACCCAGACCACCACGACATCTTGGTTGTGCGTGATCTTTTACGCGTCTTTGGACTGGCATCCTGCCTTCACACAAACTTTGGCAAATGCTCGACCACGCCTATCCAGTGCTCGGATGATCACATCGCCACCATCACGGTCGAAATGCAATGCCCAGTGAAGACTTTCTCGGTGCAGTACCTTGGTCTCCCACTCTCCATCCTCGGGCCTTCCACCACGAGCCTTCTGTCGATCGTTCACAAGCTTGAGCGGAAGCTATCTACGTGGCCGGCGTCCATGTTATCCAAAGGAGACCGGCTTGCCCTTGCTCGACACGTCCCTTGCGCCATCCTGACCCACTTCCTCATCGCCATCGCCCTCAACCAGTCTATCCTTAAGAAAGTGAACAAGATCATCCGTGGATTTCTTTGGGCTGGGAGCAAGGAGGCGAATGGTGGCCAGTGTCTCGTCAACCGGCAGAGAGTCTGCCGACCACTCTCTCTCAGTGGGGCTGGGCATTCATGACTTGCAACACACAGGCATTGCCCTTCGGACGCGCAGCTTTGGATCCAATGCACGGATCCCTCTAGGCCCTGGATCCACCTACATATTTCGCACAACGATGACATGAGCGCCATCTTTCAGGTATCCACCACCTGGACTATCGAGAATGGTACTAGCTGCAAATTCTGGACCGACCACTGGATCAATGGGCGATCAGTGGCCGAGATTGCACCTCAAGTCTACGCGATGATTCCTCGGTGACGGTGCAAGATACGCACTATCCAGGATGGCCTACACCACAGATCTTGGGTGCAGGATATTCAGGGCGGCCTTGGCCCGGTTGCCATGGTACAGTATGTCGAGCTTTGGCGCGTCGTGCGCCACATCGAGCTCCTGGAGTCACCAGACATCCTCGGCCGGAGATGGACTACGTCGACCACCTACTCCGCCAGCTCATGCTACCAGGCACTATTCCTTGGTGCTTATGAGGACCCGCACTGGAAGCTCGCTTGAAAATCTTGGGCGCCACTACGCATCAAATTCTTCATCTGGCTTGCGCTTCAGGACCATTGCTGGACGACCGAGCGCCTTGTTTGACACGAGCTGCCCCACGAAGCCACATGCGCCCTTTGCGACCAACAAGAAGAAAGCATGAAACATCTTTTGGCAGGATGCCCCTTCTCCAGACAGGTGTGGGCATGAGGTTCTTTCCTGGGTTCGATCTACCGCCGATCTACCCAACGAGGATATGGAGTTCCATGCTTGGTGGGCTGCATCTTGCACCAACACGCCCATCGCCGCTCGCAAAGGACTGGCCTCCCTCATCATCCTCACCGCATGGTGGCTCTTGAAGCACCAGAATGGTTGTGTCTTTGACGCTGACCGGCCATCAGTCTACCGCCCATGCTCTATTATCAAGGACGAAGCGCGCCTTTGGGCTAGGGTCGGCGCCACCGCAATCAGGAACATTATCCCAGAGAGTTAGACTAGGCCATAGTGGAGATGCGCAGCCCCATCTGTCTGCTCCGTGATCACTTCCATGCCTCGCTGCGCACATGGCTTAGTGTATCGCGATAATCTTCTGCTGTAATACTTTCCTTCTATCAATGAAAAGATACACATCTTTTGCGTATTCGCGAAAAAAATAAACATCTAACACAACGCTAATTACAAAGTCCAATTACAGTCTAACCCGTAATAATATTCAACACATAGTACTCCCTTCGTCCCATAATATAAAAACGTTTTTAACACTAAGTATATTTTAACACGTCCTCTCACCGTGTGGCCAGCTCCCGAATCCCACCGAATCTCCCATCCTACCTGACCCAGTTATCAGTAATCCTAGATCCTTGCTCCATCTCTCCTCGCATAGACAAAAATATCCTTTTTTCGCGAATACACAAAAGGCTTGCGTATCATTGCATTGATAGGTAGATGGTAGCAATTATACAAGAATGGGGGGGGGTAGGGCTGCCGAGCCTGTGCACAAGGATGGCGTGCAACGGCAGCCGTGGCGCATAGGGGAGGTGGGTGCGCCAGCCATAAGGCCCTAGACTACGTCTCTGGAATGATCAGCGCGAGACCTGCGGCGCCCGCACGAGCCCAAAGTCTTGCCTCCTCCCGGATGTCGTTGACGGCACGTCCGACTGAAGACCGGCGCCAAGAGATCCTGTCGGGCACGTCGACGAGGGCGAAGTGTTGGAGGCACCGCTAGAGGAAGACGTACTGGATGGCCATCTCGGTGCGAGCGCGCCCTAGATGTCCGTGATTCAGGCGCGGTTGTGGAGGCCGTCGCGCACAGAGAGCGCCTTGCGTCGTCGCTTGGGGACCTTGACGTAGATGAGAGGCGCGACCTCGGCGATGGAGCGACCGTCGAGCCAGCGATCCTCACAAAAATATCCTCGCTCTCCTTTCAAAGGGAAATTTTTTTTCCTCGCTCTACCTCTCTTCTAGCCTTATCACCGACAAGCAAATACTACTCCACTAGGCAAATACTATTCACAAACACTATTCAATACAGAAAATAGCATTACCAAACACTAAGCCGCATAAATGTTTAGAGAAAGAAAGCCATCATGAAGAAAGAGGAAATGAGGCGCAAAACTACACCCGTTGCAGATCGGGAGTGGCAGAGGGAAAGCAAGAAAAAGGAAAAGGGAACCAGCTGCAGACTCTGGACGGTGAAGCACGAGTGAACTTGACAAAGCCAAAGAGAGAGCGCGTGTGTCCTCCACCTCCAGCGAGCGCCTCACTTCACTCCCACTCCCACTCCCACTCCCGGTGGAGGGAAAAGCACCGAAAGGCGCCGCGTTTCCGCTTCTTTTTTTCACCGCACTTCCCTCCCTTTCCAGCTTCAGTCCTTCCCATGGCGTCCTCCGCGCTGCCGGCACCGTCCGTCGTCGCCGTCGCCGTCGCCGTCGCGTTCGTGTTCGCGGTGGCCACCCTCGCTGCGACGGCGTCGGCAGCCGTCACCTACGACCGCAAGGCACTAGTGGTGAACGGGCGGCGCCGCATCCTGCTCTCCGGCTCCATCCACTACCCGAGGAGCGTGCCCGAGGTACCGGCTTCTTGCTTCTCCAGCAGCCCCTGCTCCGCTCTCTTTCCCGAGAAAAATGCCGGCTCCCAGTGTGACTATTTTCTTTCTTTGCTTGTTTCTGCGGCCGCGTGCAGATGTGGCCGGATCTGATACAGAAGGCCAAGGACGGCGGCCTCGACGTGGTGCAGACGTACGTGTTCTGGAATGGCCACGAGCCCTCTCCTGGCCAGGTTGCTACTTTCTCCAACAACTGCTATGCTAAAAAAAGGTTGATTTGTTTTGCTTTCTGATGCTGCTTGGTCTGGGTGAATCGATTGTATTGTGCAGTACTATTTCGAGGGGAGGTATGATCTAGTGCGCTTCATCAAGCTGGTGAAGCAGGCCGGACTCTACGTGCATCTCCGCATTGGCCCCTACGTCTGCGCCGAGTGGAACTTCGGGTAACAACCACCTACTATACCCGCATTGCTCTCAACATTTGTTACTCTACCAAATAAGCACTAGCTGGCTGATTAGTTTTCTTACAAGGTAAGTGGTTTCAGTGATTTTCTAGGTGCCAGTTATTGCTCGTGCTAAATCATTTACTACTGCAGTTTTGTGGCTGATGAGGGATGTTGCCATATTGACAAGTCTTGATGTTGACTTCTTTTGAAGAGAAATATGCTAAATCACACTCCCTTTGACTGCAGTGGTTTCCCTGTTTGGCTCAAGTATGTCCCCGGCATCAGCTTTAGAACTGATAATCAGCCATTCAAGGCAAGTGTCGTCTTGGCAGCTCCGCTCTGTTTTAATCCCTAGCTTCTTTCTAAATGTCTGTATTTCCATCATGATTCTTTCAAACAGCTTGAGATGCACAAGTTCACCACCAAGATCGTTGACATGATGAAGTCGGAAGGGTTCTTTGAGTGGCAGGGAGGACCAATAATCCTCTCCCAGGTATGTATGCTTCAAATTGTTTTGACCTCTGTTGCTAGCATATTGGATTTCTTTTCAACCAGGCCCACCTTTAAATCCTCATTGTCCTTGCAGATCGAGAACGAGTTTGGCCCCTTGGAGTGGGATCAGGGCGAGCCTTCCAAGGCCTACGCTTCATGGGCAGCTAACATGGCGATTGCGCTCAACACAGGTGTTCCATGGATCATGTGTAAAGAGGACGACGCCCCAGATCCAATTGTATGCTGTGCACTCCTTGGCTTTAATATGTGTACCCCATAGACACTAGTTCCCTGTTTCTTTTAATGTGCTGGGGTCATTCATCTTCATGACCCCAGTTTCCAAGAATGGAAAGAAAACGTGTCCATCATATTTACTCACTGGATCATCTGCCAAGCTTTTCATTTCTAAAAGGAACTTCCACCCTTACATGACATAATTTGGACTAGGAGATTTCACTCCGCTAGATCTCACTGTTGATTTACTGCTGGCAGATTAATACATGCAATGGATTTTACTGTGACTGGTTCTCCCCGAATAAACCTCACAAGCCTACCATGTGGACCGAGGCTTGGACTGCCTGGTAAATTCATTCTTCTCTCTCTAAAAGGCTACTACCACATGATATTTTGTATGTTTGTCTTTCTCCATGTAAATCTTCTTTTCTCCTTACCGCAGGTATACAGGCTTTGGTGTTCCGGTTCCACATAGACCAGTAGAGGATCTAGCATATGGTGTTGCCAAGTTTATCCAGAAGGGGGGCTCTTTTGTTAATTATTACATGGTAAGTCACACTGATCCTTTCTGTTTAACTGAAGCTTATCATGTCACCAACTTTTTGGTACCAAGTTGTGACGCCTCTTTTCAGTATCACGGAGGGACAAACTTCGGGCGGACAGCTGGTGGTCCATTCGTTGCAACTAGCTATGACTACGATGCTCCTATTGATGAATACGGTGAGTTCACTTCTCCATGCTCTGTTTATCTTCAATGCATGCGTTGCTTTTGGCACATGTTACATTTTTGTTAGAAAATTGAAGCTTCCTTACCCCCGGCCTTTGTACTAACTAAGGATGCATACAACCAAATTATTACAAATCTGATTAAACTGGCAAAAGAAAAAAAGGGAAACATCATGGCAGATTATCAAACACAGACACAATACAACCCGTAGCCGAGTCCCTTGTAATCCCAACGTTGAAGGCTACCAAGAGATTGTCCACACGCTAACTGTTAGAGTACGTAATGGGCCTAATGGGCCCATTAGTCTTAGGGTTAATTAGAGATAAGGGTCGTTTGCTTAGGGGTCAAGTAAGCCTTGCTTGAGAGTCAATTAAACCTCTCTATATAAAGAGAGGAGATGTATCAATCTAATCAAGCAAGAATTAAGAAGGAAATCCCTTCCCTCTTGCCCGGCCGTGGGCAGAAAGGCCCCCGGCCGGCCCTCTTGCGCCCTCCTTCTAGCAGCCACATAACAATTTGGTACCAGCTAGCTTCGGTTCGATCATGTCTTCACCACCGCCAAGCCCGTCTCTTCCACTGCCGGTCACCCTGCTCCTGCCCGCGCCGGGATCCTTTGTCGCGCCCGCCCCCACCGTCCTCACCTGGGAGGACGTGTCCGGGGTGCTGCGGGACCTAACCCAGGCGGTCCAGGAGATCCACCTGTTCTTGGCCGGGTCCTACGGGCCGCACTCGGTTGCGCCGCCCATCACCGCCCCCGCGCCGCTGTGGCTGCCGTGGCAACCGCCGCACCAGGCGGCCTTCGCCGCGCTCGCCGGGCCGCTGCAGCTGCCATCCATCGCCACCACCGCCCAGCCCTGGCTGCAGTGGCAGCCACCGCTCCTGGCGGCCTCCGCCGCGCCCGGCGCGACAGCGCAGCAGCCGCTGCAGCTGCAGCAGCCACCGCGGTCAGCTCCGCCGCCCACTATGGGATGCCCTACGATGGGAGTGCGACGACCTCGTTCCCATCAGCGCCGCCGCCATCCCAGGGCGTCCACATCCAGCAGATCAAGTCCCTGCCGTCGCCGTCACCGCTTCCGTCTTGGATCGCTACCCACCACGTGTTGGCGGCGGTGAGGCTGCAGGCTGCTGCGCGCGGCCTCCTAGCGCGTCGGCGTGTGCGGGAGATGCGTGGTCTGCAGCTGCTGCTCCTCCAAGTTGCCCTTCGCTGCGCAAAGGACCTCGATCTCGTCCTCTGCGTCGGGGATCTTGGGCATGTGGTTTCCCCCACGGGCGGCCGGCATGCTGTTTTCCCCGCGGGCAGCGACCTCAAAGTCTGCGACATCGGCGGTTGGGGGGGCGCACCCCTCCTCGTCATTCTCCATCGCAAGCCCTCCACTCTTCCCTGTGCGGTGCAGACCAACAGCCATACACATGCACTCCTTTTGTCCAGGTGGTGTCCATGGGATCCAGGTGGCTGTACACGTGCACGTCCAAAATAAAGCGTCCTAGTCTATTTCAAGTTGAGAATAATAAAACAAGCCGAGATGTAAAAGGCTTGGTTTTAGGTGTTAGGTTTGTGTCGCGTCGAGTCATGGTTATAAGTTGGTTAGGCTGCAGCTCGAGGACAAGCTGCATGTCCAGGTGGGGTGTAGTGTTAGAGTATGTAATGGGCCTAATGGGCCCATTAGTCTTAGGGTTAATTAGAGATAAGGGTCGTTTGCTTAGGGGTCAAGTAAGCCTTGCTTGAGAGTCAAGTAAACCTCTCTATATAAAGAGAGGAGATGTATCAATCTAATCAAGCAAGAATTAAGAAGGAAATCCCTTCCCTTTTGCCCGGCCGTGGGCAGAAAGGCCCCCGGCCGGCCCTCTTGCGCCCTCCTTCTAGCAGCCACATAACACTAACACCAACTACGCAACAATGAGGCGTAGAGGAACTTAGTCTTCAATGCGGCGCCTCCAACGAGAAATAGGACTAGCATCGTCGTCACCGGATTCAACCAATAAGGCCACATCCTGGATTTTCATCGGGCAGCATGTATCGGTGCACCATAGCAACGCCTTCAGGAGGAATGCCGTGGTTTCTGAGTCTAGATAGGCAGATAGCCAGACCTACGTTGTTACCCTGGATAGAAGCTGCCGACTGAGCCCTCTGAGATGCCCCCATGGCCGGATCCAGTTGAAGACTGCACCATGCAGTGCCTGGATCTGTCACCACCACAGCTGATTGCCTTGGACCCGCCTAGCTGATCATGCCGGCTGCCAAACGGCTATCGTGAAATGATGGCTGATACCGGCAAAAGGAGACACATGAGGAGCTGACCGCCGTCGTCGCCATCTGCTGGAGTAGCTGAACTGCCGCGATCTCCACTGATCACCATTGGATCCTTACAAGCAGGCCGCCCTACGATCCAAAAAGCTGCGCCGCCTTCTTGGATCAGTTGTCCCACATCCGTGCTGCCATGCCTCCAGAGGAGACACCGACGACGAGGAGTAGGAGGGAGAGTTCCCCAATGTCAGGGGCTGGATAGGAGGCGGTCCCTGACAACGACGAGGTGACAGATCACAAGAGGCGGTGGTGGCGGCTGCTGCTCTGGGGGAAAACCCTAATCGCCCCTGGGTGCACGTGGGCCGCTCAGGGAGCGAACCCTGTTGGCACATGATATATACTCCGTTCACAAGTATAAGATGTTTTGGATATTTCAATATGGACTAGTGCATACGGTCTGAAATGAGTGAACACACACACACTAAAATGTGTCTGTATACATCCGAATCAGAAAAAAGTTACAGTAGAACATCTTATAATAGTGAACGGAGGGAGTACTTTGAACCTATTTCATGCCACATAGTGGTTGCTGCCACTTGGATATTTTTTTGTCTGAAGCGGCCCTTGTATAGGCAATTGCCCTTACTAGTGAACTTGAATGGAACAACGATGCAGTTTAGGTATTTTCTGACACCTTCACCCCTTAATTAATTGTACAAAGCAATGTGGCAGCATCCACATTCCACTCTGCAGTATCCAGGTTCAAGTCCATTGCCTGAGTTACAGAGAGATTTTCATCCACTCCAATTCTCAAGGTCCATAACCTTTTAAAGACACAGATGGAGAATAATTTGTTTCTCTAAACAATGGATTAGCAACAATGCAGTGATTTTCATCCACTCCAATTCTCAAGGTCCATAACCTTTTAAAGACACAGATGGAGAATAATTTGTTTCTCTAAACAATGGATTAGCAACAATGCAGTGTCTGATTGCACAAATCGTTTTATATATTACCTACATCGTAATGGTGACATTTGGTGCTACATTACAGCAAAATTGTTTTTTGTTCTTTCTTTGTCGATGTTGTACAGCACGTACTTTGTTATTATGTACCCCCTAATCCTATGTACCAATTTGACCGAACTTTTTCCCTTTGCTTCCTCAGGCTTATTGAGAGAACCAAAATGGGGCCACTTGAAGGAGTTGCATAGAGCCATCAAGCTTTGCGAACCAGCCCTGGTTGCAGGAGATCCCATTATATCTTCCCTTGGGAAGGCTCAGAAGGTTGTGATGACATTCTGTTCTTTTCTCTACTTGAGACCTACACTATTTCGTTCATAAGCCAGAACTGACTTCTTGGTAACTTTCTGTTCAGTCATCCGTTTTTAGGTCAAGCACAGGAGCTTGTGCAGCTTTTCTTGAGAACAAGGATAAGCTATCTTATGCAAGGGTATCGTTCAGCGGAATGCATTATGACCTGCCTCCTTGGTCTATCAGTATTCTTCCGGACTGCAAAACAACAGTCTTCAACACCGCTAGGGTGAGATTAGGCACTTGAGCTATCTGGTTAATTTAGTTGGCTTGCTTACATTGTATATTCATCCAAGCTTAATATGTGTAGTTTCTTTTTTACTACCGTTATTTAAAATCTGTATCTGATCTGAATTTTTGCCTTTTTATCATTATTTAAAGTTTTTGTGATATGCTTATACAGGTTGGCAGCCAGATTTCACAAATGAAAATGGAATGGGCTGGAGGACTCACATGGCAGTCATATAATGAGGAGATTAATTCCTACAGTGAGGAGGAAGCATTTACAGCGGTAGGATTACTGGAACAAATAAATATGACGAGGGATAACACAGACTACTTGTGGTATACAACATAGTAAGTGGCCTAACTCCACCAACAATATGAATATATGACTCTTTGCAATTCACTGGTACTAAAAGTTTCATTTTCAAGTGTTGATGTTGCGAAGAATGAGCAGTTCCTCACCAGTGGGAAGTCTCCAAAACTCGCTGTGATGTCGGCTGGTCATGCTTTGCATGTTTTCGTTAATGGACAATTAACAGGTAACTATGAAGTCTCTGCCACGCTTGACAAAAAATTGTGCATCTCTTAACTGTCAAAAGCAATTGATCTTCAAATACTCCCCAATCCGTTCACAGGAACTGTTTACGGCAGTGTAGAAGACCCAAAACTAACGTATACTGGGAGTGTGAAACTATGGGCAGGAAGCAACACTATTTCATGCTTAAGTATAGCAGTTGGTCTCCCTGTAAGTGAATAGTTTGCTAACTAAGATGGTACTCTTGGTCATGCAATATTTGAGCCTTTGTATATTTATTTTCCATTCCTGTATACAGAACGTTGGAGAACATTTTGAGACTTGGAATGCTGGAATTCTTGGTCCGGTGATACTTTATGGCCTGAATGAGGGAAGAAGAGATCTCACATGGCAGAAATGGACCTATCAGGTAATGTATGTTGTTTTAATGTGCTGTGCACAAGCATTAACATAAAAAAACCTAATGTATATGGGCAGGTTGGTTTGAAAGGTGAGGCTATGAGTCTTCATTCACTTAGTGGAAGCTCATCGGTAGAATGGGGAGAACCTGTACAGAAGCAGCCTCTGACATGGTACAAGGTAATGTGAAATTTGCATGTGATTAGTTGGTACCCATGTGGTATAGCCATCATTTTTTAGAAGATGTATCCCACAGTTGCCTCTTTTCAGGCTTTTTTCAACGCACCAGATGGTGACGAGCCATTAGCCTTGGACATGAATAGCATGGGGAAGGGGCAAATCTGGATCAACGGTCAAAGCATTGGACGGTATTGGCCTGGCTACAAGGCCTCCGGAACATGTGGTTACTGTGATTACCGTGGTGAATATGATGAGACGAAGTGTCAAACCAACTGCGGTGACTCTTCTCAGAGATGGTAGGAACTCCATGGTTTAGAAGTAACTATTACAGAACCACCCATGGCATTATTTACATCTATGTCATGTTCCTTCAGGTACCATGTTCCTCGCCCATGGCTTAATCCTACTGGGAACCTATTGGTGATATTCGAGGAGATTGGTGGTGACCCTAGTGAAATTTCAATGGTGAAAAGAAGTACTGGAAGTGTATGTGCTGACGTGTCTGAATGGCAGCCGTCGATGACGAACTGGCGTAGCAAGGAGTACGAGAAAGCTAAGGTCCACCTCCAGTGTGATCATGGGCGGAAAATAAGTGAAATAAAATTTGCCAGCTTTGGCACACCGCAGGGGTCCTGCGGGAGCTACTCAGAAGGCGGATGCCATGCACACAAGTCGTATGACATGTTTCGGAAGGTAATGGGTTTGCGACCATCGCATTAGTTGGGCTTTTCTTTACCTAGTCGTGCTTGTACCTAGAATCTGAATTGGCATTTCTTGCAGAACTGCATTAACCAAGAGCACTGTGCGGTAAGCGTGGTTCCAGAGGTATTTGGTGGAGATCCTTGCCCTGGGACAATGAAAAGGGCTGTTGTGGAGGTTATGTGTGGCTGAACTGCCAAGGTATGTCGTGGAGCATGGTCCATACAGGATTCTGGCAACAGGTGAAAGTCACAGTAACCGTGACGCACAAACTGTCAGAAGTTACAGAAAATGAGTTGTATTTTAGACCGAATCATCAGTGTATGTACGTATTTAGTTTAGCCCATATACATGGATTTGCACGGACGGGAAGATTAGGATCGGTAGGTGTGGAAAAGGGTCTAGATACCGCTCGTCTGGTTTGCGGAGAGCCCGGAGGAGACTCTTGCTCACCTGAGTCCTCATGTGCAATGGCTTCTTCTGGATTGGAAGAGGTCATGTTCATTTTTCGCTCATTGAAGGATGCAAAATGTAATGTGCAGGGGCACCACTCCATTCATGCATTGTTATCTTGATTCTAACTAGTCAAAACAGGATAATGGTTCAGCTCACTAATAAAATTGCTCCGTTGTGTTATGTACTCATGCATCGCATATGTGCTGTGATTATTGAGATGTGGTTTGGTTCAGTTGGTGTCAGGTCACGTGTCAATTTAGGCCTGTCGTGTGATGGCTGATTTGTTTGGATGTGAGTGAGAGTGGTGGATCTGGTAGTACAAGAGACAAGCGATCTATTTACTTTAGGGCCTAGGCATGACAATGGTGAGAGAAAAATCGTAAGAAAAGACATGTCTTCGTGCTTCTTATTTAAGAGATGACCTCTTAGCATAACAAATCGTAAGAAAAGACCTGTCTTCGTGCTTCTTATTTAAGAGATGACCTCTTAGCATAATATGACTCACCATGTTTTTAGAAATAGTTAGTTAGAAGATAAGCCTAAGAGATAACCATTGTACATGTTTTTTTTGTCATCTCTAAATTACATGTAATACGTAAGATAAAATTGTCTTATCAACCATTGTACATGCCCTTATGATTGTATTGCCCGAGTGTTGGTCGGTGATAGGGAATATCATCGGAGAGAGGTTTTCTTGGATAACAAGGTTTTTGCCGTGACGACAACTCAGGAAGAAAATGGGGGTAGGTGAGAACCTTACCAGCAGATGACCCTACAATAACACAATGGCTAGGTGTCAGTCAACTAACTTTCGATTTTGGGTTAGTCGATTTTGAACTTCGTCGGAGGGAGGTCGGAGGGAGGGAAGGAAGGAGCTCACCGGAGGGCTACCCACCATCTATCTTAGGGTGGGAGGTGGTGGCGGGAGAGCGACGGTGGTTGGGGGCGGTGGCGCAACTTCGCCGCAGAAAGTCTTCG